TGTTGGGGGGGAGATCCAACTGTCCATTTGTATCAAAGGACCTTCATTCTGTATTTTGTCCCTGTTGTTTAGCTGATAGAACCAGGAGACTCTGCCGCTAAACAAACAGGAAGCCTTATTATTTATTACCTTTTCATCACAATATTGCTAACACTGAAGGACTGTAAATGCACTAATTAATTAAAATATAAAATATATATTAATATATAATTAATTTAAAATGTAACATAAATAATTTAGACTATATGTTTATATGTAATTTAAAATATAACAAAATTAATATTAGTATATTAACTTAATTGGAAGTTATATCAGATTATTAACAAACTTTAGGATTTTTTCCTCTGTGAGAGGGAGCTATTTGTAGTTTCTACTGGAATATTGTTTACCTATGCAGAAAAAAGTGATAAAAAAAGAGACGACATAAATTATATTTTTTTCTTACAAGCATGAACTTTAACAATTTTTAGGAAACTAAACCTGTACTTTAAGATAGAAATATTAACTTTTTTTACCTTAGTGACTATAATATTATTACTTTTTAAAGTGGCACCATAAAAGAAAATACCACAGTTACCCTTCAGTTCTTACAAACTTGGAAATTTGTATTCGTAAAGAGGTATGGTGAATTTTAGATTTTGTCTCTTACGACCCATTCATCAGACATCCGTTAGTTATTTAAAGCGTTTAGATGTGTTACATCTATGCTTCTCTTTCTATTATTTGGGGAGTTTATTACCTGTTACTTATTTTGCCGTCGTTATTATCCTTTAGGATTTTGTTAAGAAATTACAGTGCAAACAGGCGTCAGTCACCGCTATTACAGAAAAGGTGAATAAGTTAACCAAGAAGCAGGAGTCTCCTGAACACAAAGAAATAAGCCACTTAAATGACCAGTGGCTGGATCTGTGCCTTCAGTCTGACAATCTGTGCTCGCAAAGGGAAGAAGATCTTCAGAGAACGAGGGATTACCATGACTGTATGAATGTCGCGGAAGCGTTCTTGGAAAAATTCACTACGGAGTGGGATAACTTAGCCAGGTAACAGCTCCTCTCCAGTGAGTCACCAAATACTAAGCTGGAAATTTCTTAACTTTTATAAAAATGTAAAATGCCTTACTTATATCTATCGTCTGTCATTATTAATATTGATAAAACAGTATTAAAAAACTAATATTGTCATTTGGACACAGTCATGGCTTTCCTTGCTCGATGTTAATCAGTGGATAAAAGGAAACTGCTTGAAACCATTTTTCTCTGTGATCTCAAAAATGTCACAAGAATATTTTCAATTTTGCTTAATTACCAGTTATGAGACTATGGATTCATGAAATAAATCTTTCTTGAATCTATATGTCCCGTAGGTTTCTTATCGGCTCTGTAAAGTAATACATTCTATGTAATTCAGTTCAGCTTTCATTTTGTATTTGTTTGTGGCATTCTAGAAATCAGTGAACAAATCAAATTCAATCAATATGTGTCCTTTGTAATTTTGTAGTGATTGAACTCCTCTTAACTTTTTTTTTTTTTAATAAGAATTCTCTATACACACTGGGTCTTCATAAGAAATATTTTTATACTTCTGATCACTATAATTATTGAAATCTGTTCTTCTTCTGCCTAGATTTATTAATTTGCAGCAACTAAAACTGAAAATGTAATTCTAGATATAGTTAAATCAAGTGGTTTTTTGGGAGAGGGTACTCTATTTTCTGGTTTGTTTATAGAATTTTTTCTTAATGCTGAACATTTTACTGGTCTTTGGGGTAAATCCAAGCAATATCAGCGAAAGCCCATCTTTTGGGCTTACCATAGGCACCTCCATCTGGTTCGCCGTTGGTCACCTCAGGCCCAATAAATCCTAAACTGGACTCATTATCCTTCCTCCCAACACTGGTTCTCGTACTTTGAACTGATCATCTTATAAATGGAAGGGACTATAAGATTCCATTTTCTCTTGTGTGTTTTGTAGTCAGAGGGATAAGAATTCTTTGCATTTCACACTTCTTTTTGAAGATTTCTAATGATAAAAAATATTTAAGTACACAAGTGAATAGCTAATAGAGCCATTGGTTACATCTTGCAGATTGAACTAGCACCATACTGTTTATTGGAGCTTCTTCTCACAGGAAAGCACATGCATCGTGGATTACTTATTGATTTAAGTGCCATTTTCAAGACTGCAATAGATCAGTGCTTCTGAGGGTTAGGGTTTACACACACCATCCAGGGATCTTGTTAATAATATGCAGATCCTGCTCAGTTTATAAGTGACAAAGGAAGAAGCTAAAAGTATATGTCAGATGTGTTGGGAGGGCCAACAAAGAGTAGAAAAGAAAGTATCCAGGCAATTTGTTTTGGTTTGCCTTCTAATATAGAAATATATGGGTCTTGTATTCCATAATAATTATAGCACCTGTACCAATAAACCATGAATTGAGCTACTCTAAGCTAAGAACATCCACTTAAAGTAAAGGACGAAATATAATATAACATGGTATGAACAGATATAGATATTGAGTTGGCTAATTCGCCTTTACGTCTTTCATATACTTATAGATCTGATGCGGAGAGCACAGCTGTCCACCTGGAAGCTTTGAAAAAGTTAGCATTGGCATTGCAGGAGAGAAAGCAGGCGATTGACGATCTGAAAGAAAAAAAGCAGAAAATGATAGAGCACCTGAATTTAGATGACAAAGAATTAGTCAAAGAACAGACAAGTCACCTTGAACAACGTTGGTTTCAGCTGGAGGACCTTGTCAAAAGGAAAATCCAAGTGTCAGTCACCAACTTGGAAGAATTAAACGCAGTGCGGGCCAGGTTCCAGGAGCTGATGGAGTGGGCAGAAGAACAGCGACCCGCCATTGCCGAGGCCCTCAAGAAGAGCCCCCCGCCTGATATGGCACCAAACCTTCTCATGGATCACCTTGCCATCTGCAGTGAACTGGAGGCCAAACAGATGCTCCTGAAGTCACTCATCAAGGATGCTGACAGAGTGATGGTTGACCTCGGCCTAAATGAGCGGCAGGTCATCCAGAAGGCACTCTCTGAGGCACAGAGACACGTGAATTGTCTCAGTGACTTAGTGGGCCAGAGGCGGAAGTACATAAACAAGACCTTGTCCGAGAAAACTCAATTTCTTATGGCAGTGTTCCAGGCCACCAGCCAAATTCAGCAACACGAGCGAAAGATAATGTTCCGTGAGCACATCTGCCTGTTACCGGATGACGTGAGCAAACAAGTGAAAACGTGTAAGAGTGCACAGGCCAGCCTCAAGACTTACCAAAACGAAGTCACTGGACTTTGGGCCCAGGGTCGCGAATTAATGAAAGGAGCCACAGAGCAGGAAAAGAGCGAAGTGCTGGGTAAGCTCCAAGAATTGCAGAGTGTCTATGACACTGTTTTACAAAAGTGCAGCCATCGGCTACAAGAACTGGAGAAAAATTTAGTTTCTAGGAAGCATTTTAAGGAAGATTTCGATAAAGCTTGTCACTGGCTAAAACAAGCAGATATTGTTACATTTCCTGAAATCAACCTAATGAATGAGAGCACTGAGCTTCAGACACAGCTGGCCAAATACCAACAGATTCTTGAGCAATCTCCAGAATATGAAAATCTACTACTCACGCTACAGAGGACTGGGCAGGTCATGCTGCCATCGCTGAATGAAGTCGATCACTCCTACCTCAGTGAAAAGCTCAACGCTCTGCCCCTGCAATTTAACGTCATCGTTGCCTTGGCTAAAGACAAGTTCTATAAAGTCCAAGAAACAATTCTCGCTCGGAAAGAATATGCTTCCTTGATTGAGCTGACAGCCCAGTCTCTGAGTGAACTCGAAGACCAGTTCCAAAAGATGAGCCAGGTCCCCACCGACCTGATGGTGGAAGAGGCTCTGTCTCTCCAGGATGGTTGCAGAGCCCTCCTGGGAGAGGTGACAGGCCTGGGGGAAGCAGTGAATGAACTGAACCAGAAGAAAGAAAGTTTTCGCAGCACAGGTCAGCCTTGGCAGCCAGATAAGATGCTACACCTTGTCGCCTTGTACCACAGGCTGAAGCGACAAACAGAACAAAGGCTTAGCTTCTTAGAAGACACTACCAGTGCTTATCAAGAGCACGAGAAGATGTGCCACCAGCTACAGAAGCAGCTTGAGGCTGTGAAGACGGAGCAGTCCAAAGTGAACGAGGAGACGCTTCCTGCAGAGGAGAAGCTCAAATCGTATCACTCCCTGGTGGGAAGTCTGCAGGATTCAGGAATTCTCCTAAAACGAGTGACCGTGCATCTTGAAGATCTTGTTCCACACCTTGATCCCTCTGCTTATGAGAAAGCCAAGCACCTGATCCAGTCCTGGCAAGAGGAGTTAAAACTGTTGACTTCTGCCATTGGTGCGACAGTGACGGAGTGTGAGAGCCGCATGGTGCAGAGTAGAGACTTCCAGACAGAGCTGAGCTGCTCCCTCGACTGGCTGAGGAGTGTGAAGGCGGAACTCAGTGGATCGATAAGCCTGGACCTGAACCTCCGTGACATCCAGGAGGAGATCAGAAAGGTCCAAATTCACCAGGAAGAGGTGCAGTCCAGCCTGAGAATAATGAATGCCCTGGGGAACAAGGAGAAGGAGAAATCCACGAAGGCCAAGGAGCTGATCTCTGCCGACTTACAAAATATTCTCGCTGAACTCTCCGAGCTGGATGGAGACATTCAGGATGCTTTACGCACCAGACAGGTGGGAATGGCCTGGCTTCTCTTTTCTTTCTTCTGCTCTGCTAATTTGGAAACGTGTGAGAAATTTCTTCCTTTTTCTTTCCTTCCTTCCTTCCTTCCTTCTTTCCTTCCTTCCTTCCTTCCTTCCTTCCTTCCTTCCTTCCTTCCTTCCTT